AAGTCTCCCAATACTATAGGTCTGGTCATGAGCTTTTATAGATTCTGCTTGGCATAATCCTAGTAGGATTTCAACTCTCCCTATGAGAGTCCTCCTAGGAATCACACATCCTACTCACTACCAACCAAGTGAGGAACCAGATCACCATTTACCTTGTTGATTGCAAGAAGCCCAAGTCATCTACCGAGGTTCGCCGGAAAATACCAGTCACCGGCAAAATGAACTTCGCGGCGGTTGTCAAGGAAACCGACTGTTTCTTCCTCGCTGTGTTGAAGCGGACGAGAAGGAATCGAAGGCCGAAGCCGAAGCAAAAGCAGGGTGGTGGTGGTAGTGGGGTTGAATTCGTTGATTACTTGCCGGAAAAGTTGCTTCTTCTCCGGAGAAACCAACCGGAGGTGAACAATCTAGGGCACTACAATCAGATTGCGTCGCCGGAGTTCTTGAATTACAACGAGAGGTTGATGAATTTGCAGATTCAGAGAGAGAATTACGCGATGTTGATGAACTCGAATGCGATTTCGACTCTGAATTTGGATTTGGGTTTGGATTCCGATTCCGATTCGTTTTCGGAAGAGAGATTTGGGGATTCGATCGCGACTCAACCGTTTTGCGAGGAGTGTGCAAATGCGAGAAGGAAGGGAATTACGGCGCCGTTTCACTGCTGCGTACTGGACCCGGTCGTTAAAGGGTTCCGATCGACGGCGGGACCGATTGCTCGGCCGCGTAAAAGCGCTTTACTCATCACTTCTATCATTCAAAGATGCCATCAAGACCCATCCCTCCCCCAACCCTTTCAGCCAACTCAACCCCTCTCTATTGTCGGTACCATCGCAACATCCTACGCTCACTTCCCACAGTACTGCAACATCACAATTGCCATATACAATTGATATTCCAAACCTTGCCATATACAATTGATATTCCAAACCTTAAATCTCTATTCATGTTCAAAATATTGAAAAACGATTTGAGATTTTTGGTGCTTTTGTGGAGGATTCAATTGAGGAAAAGATTGTTATGGATATGAGAGGAATGGCTAGTATGGAAGGACGTTGGGAAGACAAAGGAAGGAATGAAAAGAGAGATTAAGAGAAAGGGCATTTTTGATATTTTATTGGTAAATTTTACTTTTTGTAATTATTTTTTGGATAAATTATTCAAAAATGTATTTAAAATACGAATTACATCATATGATTTTAAAAATTACAAATATCTCCTTGTCTAAATTTTTTATTTAACAAAGTTAACAAAAAAAAGAAAGAAATGTCTAATTGTTCTATTATACAATAATAAAATTATTTGAATTGTTAATTAAAATATATTTCTGATACCATTAAAAACTATTAATTGAATAAATAATTTACTAATAAAATAACTTATTTATTATGCAATCAGAAATCTAAAAGAAACAAAATGTAATTCCAAAACTATAAAAAACAATTTGTATTTAAAGTAAGCATCAAGGATGTATTTATATTTTATCCTTAGTTTTATTATTAAAAAAATAAAATATAAAAATAAAAAAGTAATGCGTGTTGGGCTGTCATATGTATGGCATGCACTTTTCTAGAATTCACCAACCAATTGCATGGCCATCTCATCTGTGTCCAGCTAAAAGTTTACTTGATCCCAAAAAGAACCTTCCGCTCTCTCATCATTCTTATAACACGTGTCATATTCTAAACCAATCATTAACTACTTAACTCTATGTTATTCCTCCATTTTCAATATAAATCGTGAGTCACTATACTTCTCTATTAATTAAAACTTTATAAAACACAAACGTCTCTCCGAAAATAATGAATAATCACCCCTATAAATAGCTATCAAATTGTCCAAACTCTCAAAGCCCTCTAACCATCCATCCCAACTCTTCCCATCACAGCAATCTTCTTAATCCCAATGGCAACTTCTTCATCTCCATTACCATTTCTTCTGATTATGATGTCTCTGCTGATTATAAGTTGTTGGGTACTAGCTACTTCTGCTTCTAACTTCTACCAAGATTTCGATATTTCTTGGGGCGATGGGCGTGCTAAGATACTCAACAATGGAGATCTTCTTACTCTGTCACTTGACAAGCCCTCCGGCTCTGGTTTTCAGTCGAAGAATGAGTATCTCTTTGGCAAGATTGATGTGCAACTCAAGCTTGTGCCTGGAAATTCAGCTGGCACTGTCACTGCCTACTATGTGAGTTCCCTTGGTGTATATATTAAAGAGTTTATAAGTTGGTTTATTTTTTAATGTATTTATTTATTTATCTTTAGTGAATTTTATTTAATTTGGAATTAAATGATTTTACTTTTTAAATCTTACTCTAACAAATTAAGTCTTCGCTTGGGAAGAGTTAAAATAACTTAGTTTTTTGATTTTTTTTGCTATATTTTAGCTTGGTTTTTTTAGTCTTGTTTGGTTTTTATTTTTGACTTTTTTGACTTTTGTAAGAGAAAAAGTGTAATATTTATAGTTTGAATGCGATATTTTATCTTATTGACTCAAGTAGCTAATTTTGTCTTTTGTGCTTTTTCAACCACAAAGCCAAAACCAAACACAGCTTAAGATTTCAAATATAACAATTTAAGAACAAAATCATTTCTTAAAAATAAAATATTTAATGGTCAAAAGTATCGTATTTTTAGCGAAGAAATTAAATATTTAAGAATAAATTATTATCTTTTTTAATCAAAATTTGGTACAAAAAATCTCAAAAAATCAACTTTTTTTTGTACCAAATTTTTTGTTTCTAAAAGCACACTTAAATTTTATTGTTAAATTTTCTTTTTATATATACTATCAAACGATCTTTTAGTAATAATCCTCGCAATGATAAGAATTTATTCTGAAATATTTTTTTGTAATAAAATTTTTATTTTTGGGAACAAAAATTTAGTCCCTATTATCGTTATATGCGGTAGTATCTGTCAAGGCAAGACAATCCAATAAAAAATAATTTTAAAATGAAAAACTTCTAAATAAATCCATTAAAAATGAAAATAAGGCAAATTTTGTTCAAAAAAGCCTAAAACACATTGACTTGTTTTTGTTTTGGGTAAACTAGACTTTAATCCTTTTAAATTTGGTCATTTTCTCACTTGACCTTTAAAATTTATTTTTTTCACTTTAATCCTTTATATTTTAAATTTTTCCCAGTTTACTCTTAAAGTTAAATTTCTTTTCAAAATTAAATAGAAAATACCACGATAATTGTCACATAACATAAAAAAAAAATTTTTAAAAAAAATTATTATATTAGGATTTGAGTATGTATCAGATGTGTATGTATAACAAAATATTCTTATAATGTGTGAATATTAATGTGTCATTTTTGTCTAATTTTTAACAAAAGTTAGTTTTATGAGTAAATTAAAAAAAAATTGAAAAATGAAGGTTAAAGTGAAAAAAAAAATTTAAAATCGAAGTGAAAAAAAAAACCAAATATAAAAAAGGAATTTATTCCTTTGTTTTTAGTAACGTTGTAGTGTAGACAAACCTTTAAAATAAAATATTAAAAACATTGACCCACAGTTGAAGAAAGTTGACTAAGGCCTCGTTTGGGAACCCTTATTTTTAGTCAAAAAGTCAAAAAGTTACTAAATTAGCCAAAAAACCAACAATTCATACCAAAAAGTCAAAGATTCTCTTTTCTCTTTACTTTTTGCACATCTTTTCGTAAAAAGTCAAAAAGTCATTCCAAACATACTAGTTTTTTTTAGCTCATATTTTAGCCAAAAAGTTACTAAATTAGCCTGTTCCCAAACGAGGCCTAAGGCAAAAATAAGTCAATTTGTGAGCTATGAAGTCCCCTAATGATTGAGTTTTATTTACTTGTTTGTATGTTGCAGTTGTCCTCACAAGGGCCAACACATGATGAGATAGACTTTGAATTCTTAGGGAACCTAAGTGGTGATCCTTATATTCTTCACACCAATGTCTTCGGCCAAGGCAAAGGTAACAGAGAGCAACAATTCTACCTCTGGTTCGACCCCACTGCCAATTTCCATACCTACTCCGTCCTCTGGAACCCCAAACACATCATGTAAGTAGAGCTAAAAATACCCAAAAACTAAATTTAAAGACAAACATTTTTGAACTTGGAATTGATCAATCTTTTTACCCTCTCCAATCCAGCTTTTCTGTCGATGGCACCCCAATTAGAGAGTTCAAGAACTTAGAATCAATCGGTGTTCGATACCCGAAGGACCAACCAATGAGGATATACTCTAGTCTGTGGAATGCTGATGATTGGGCAACAAGAGGTGGACTTGTCAAGACTGACTGGACACAAGCTCCCTTCACTGCCTCCTACAGAAACTTCAACGCCAATGCTTGCATATGGTCGTCCGGAGCATCTTCTTGTAGTTCAAGCTCTAACAATAGCAATGCATGGCTAGCAGAAGAGTTGGATTCAACAAGCCAACAAAAGCTTAAATGGGTGCGAAACAATTACATGATATACAATTACTGCACGGACTCAAAGCGTTTCCCACAAGGCCTCCCTCCAGAATGTGTTGCTTGAAGCACATCATTATAGCAAAGGAATGAAGTTGCACAAAATTTTGATTTCTGTTGCTTAGTCACTTTAAGTTCTTGCTTAGTTAGCACAATGTCACAAAGTTGAAATTGACTGCCTTGAAAAATAAAATTGTATCTTACACTCTGTGTTAAGTCATATAAGCAACATAGTTAATTTTGTTCTCCAATTGTCTATCTACTTCAACATATTAAGATGGTATGGTACATCAGCATGGCATGTCAATAAAGAAAGGACAGATTAGAGTAACAGAGCAACTGAACTTGCTCTAACTGTGAAGAATATCAAAATTGAGCTAATTGATTGGCCATTGTGACTCTTCATCAGGAAGGGTTATGACTAGGCTTGTAAATGGATCGGATCTATCAAAATCCGATCCAAATCCGTTTAGCCCATATCCAATTATAGATCACCCGGATCCAAATCCGAATCCGATAATTTCAGATATCCGATTCGATCCATTTATTTATTTATTTATTGAGCTACAATTTTATATTATTTGATTCTTTTTTTCATTTTGTGTTTTCTTTATTTAAATTGAGAATAATCGGATTAGATTATTGGATTATTGGATTGAATCGGATTTTTACATATTCAATCTATTTAATAAACCGATTAAACGGATTTGGATTTGGATTATCAGATTACTAGATCGAATTTTTTGTAAATAGATTCCGATTTTCGGATTAGATTCGGATAGGATTCGGATTACCTCGTTATGGCTTTACTCTTACAAATGAAATGTGTCCCGTGTGTCTTTAACTTGCATGAATAGCTCACGTGTTAAGGATTCTTTGAACCGTAAATTCGGGCACTTCAGGTAAGTTCTTGTGATTTATTTTATTTATTTTTTGATAAATTACCATAATAGTTCTTAAAGTTTAACACATTTTTTCATTTAAGTCTCTTAAAGTATTAAATTTGAATTAATTTAGTCCTGAAGACAATATAAAAATAGAACATAAGCGTAAATGTTATATAAAATTGTGATCAGATCTAGATTTTAATTTATTATTAACTTAATTATTCTCTGTACGTATATTTTTATAATTGGTATATTTCTTTTAGACTGATTAATTCTAATTGTTTATATATATCTTCTTCTATTTCTATTCTACTGTTATTTATTTTTTTCTAATATGCACTTATCCATTTTATTTTTTCTAATATGCAATTTTTATCTGATTTTTTGGTTATTTCTAATATTATTTTATATTTCATGTCATTATCTTTTTCTTGTTTTGTCATTATTTATTATTTGTCTACACTACAATTACTTCGATCCATTTTTTTAATTTTTCTGGTGGTATTAATTCAAAAGATACTCTTGGAGAGTTCCCCCGTAAGGATAAAGATAATACATGTATTATTTTCTTCAAAAATTAACTGCTTACCTATATTTAATAATAGAATGCTGAACTTCATGTATAATTTCTAATTGATTTTCTTTAAGATTTTTGTTGAGTTCTTTTAATAACTTGACTATAGTATTAGTTTGTTCGATAATTATTTGTAGTGTAGTACTATTATTTAAATCATCTTATTCGACTTCTTCAGTGTATTTGATTCCCATACATTAATATTGGAAAAACCGATAAACCAAATTCTAATATCAATTCTAAAACACACGCGTAGAGGACAATTAAGTTAACAATAAATTAAAATTCAAACCTTATATAACAATTTTATATAACCTTTGGGCTTATATTTTGTTTTTATATTGTCTTTAGCACTAAATTGTTTCGAATTTAATACTTTAAAGACTTAATTAATAAAATTAAAACTTTAAAAGACTTAAACGAAAAAATATTAAACTTTAGAGACTATAATTGCAATTTAATTATTAATTTATTTTTCTTGGTGATATCTCCGAACTCACTAGACATATTTGATAGGTAATTGCATTTGTTCAAAATTTACTTCGTAGGAGTGGGTGTAAAGTGATCCTGTCTTAAAATATGATCCTGTCTTAAAATATTTACTTCAATAAAAATAATAATAAATCAAACCAAAGACCTCAAAAGGGTGACAAAAACAGAGTCTCAAAGTTAGGTCTGGCCTCGTAGCTAGGTCTTTAGTGGCCTCGTAGCTCAAGTCTTCATCTTGAATTTGTTCTCTCATCTCTGTATCTCTCTGTCACCTACATGTGCGACCGGATTTGTAATAACTCCAACCTCCGTGGTATTATATTACAGTATTTAAATAAGTTTAATTGAGCTCAAAAATGTATACTTAGCTGAGATTTTAGAGAAATGAGAGGGAGAATCAACTCTAGAGAGAAGACAATTGTAAAGAAATTGAAGGAGATTTGTAGAATTGAACTAAAGTACAGTTGAATTCAACTTTAGGTATGATTTTCAATCATAATCTTTGCAAATAATTTAAGTAGGAGTCGGGTTCATGGAATCCATAGAGTTATTTACATGTAATTAAGTAGTGAATGCAAGAATTTCTATGGATTTGCCAACTAAGAGCATAATTGAGAGATGCATGCACGAATCACCATTTTGAGTTTGAATTTCATGAAATTTTTCACATGCATAAAGCTATACTTGACATCTTTGAAGGCATTCCATAGTTCACTACTACAAAACTAAGTTTTTACGGTTTCATATCAAGGACATACAGTAAATACAAGCCGTACTTTCTCCTTTTTATAACTTGCTTTTTTTGCATGTCGTAAATAATTTTCCAATCATGACGTATCTATTGCGTAGGTCGTGAATGCTAATAATAATGATTTTTTTAAGGCTTGCAATGTTAGCCATAAAATAATAAAACTTTCTATGGCGTGCATATGGCATGCCGTAAATACATCAACTATACACGACACGCATACATCAGTTGTTAAAAATATTGAATATTTCACGAGCACAAAAAGTCAGCCGTTAAACATTGCACTTTCCACGACGAACAAAAAGCTAGTCATTTAAAATATTACACTTTCCACGACGTGCAATTGCTATCGTGAAAGGGACGACCAAAAAAAAAGGTAGCGCCAAAATAAAAATTTTGAGCGCCAAACACTAAAAAATAAAAATTAAAAAAGAAAAAGAAAAAGAAGAAGAAAAGAAACAAACAATCAAAAGTCCCAACTTTCAGCCCCAACATCAATCTTAAAAAAAAAAAACTCAAAGCAATTTTTGTGCAGTGAGGAGGGTGACGAAGAAGAAGAAGAGACACTGTGATGAATCCTCCATCTCCATAACCATAACTCACCTTTCTTCCTTCACCCTCTAACCCTAACCCTAACCCTAACCCTAACCATAACCGTAACTTCTTCTATTCTCATCTCCACCACTACCAACTGAAATCACTTCACCACCGCCACCTCTGCCTCTGCCGCAGCCTCCTAATCTCTCAACCGCTCTCTCAACACTCAAACACCTCATCCACCTCTCCGAAACCACCCTCCACTCCTTCTCTAGTCTCCTCGCCACCACCACCACCACCACCACCACTGCCCTCTACCCTCTACCCTTTCAATTTCCACCACCTCCTTCTACCGGAATCCCTCTTTCGCCACTCCCTCCAATGTCCTTCTTCCTCTTCCCCCCTTCTCAACCTAGGCCCCCTCACACTCTAATCATTGCACTACCCTAACACTCTGAATTCCTCCCAAACAACTCTTCAATCAGAACCACTTCCTTCAAACCCTACACGATCCCAACTCTGACCAACTCTTCAATCATAACCGCTCCTTCAAACCCTACACGACCTAACTCTGACCTTTGTTTCTCCCTCGACAATTACTGTGGCTTCGGCCCCAATTTCTTCTACAGTAATTGCCCCATCGTAGTTAGCTCTGCTTATAGAGATAGTTTGAACCGAACCTTCACTCTCCCAGGTATTCTATTGATTTAGTGCACATTTTGTAGGCAGTGATAATGGTGAAATTAAGGGTTTTTCTAGGGATTGTGTTAGGCTTCTTCCTTCTGAGTTGTGGCTTGTTAGAAACGAAATCGAGTCGTGGAGGGATTATCCTATTGCCTATTTGTATAGAGTTCTTCGGATCATTTTGTGTTTTGTTATGGCTGAAGATTGTGATTTCCTTAAATGGATAATTGTGAATTCGCCTTGTTATGATGTTGTGATTGATGTGCCTATGAAGGACCATATAGTTTTGCTTTTTTAGCTTTGTTTGAAAGCAATTGTGAAGGAAGTTACTGGTTCGGTAGATTCAGTATTGAACAGAGATGCGAGGGAGTTGAATCTGGCTGTTATGTGTTTAAAGTGTCCCATTTTGGACCTCAGAGCCTGTCATTTATGTCTCTTTGCTGGCTGATGTATGCGACTGCGATGCTTTTTTTAAAGCAGCAAGTTCTTGCTGCTTCAGAGGGAAGTAGGCAGCTGCTTTTGTTTGTTATATGATAAACTTGAATTGGAATTTTTTGGTAATTGAGTGAAATTGTTGGATTGTCTGGTGAATATGAATGTGTAATTTTTTTATATGGAATTAAGCAAAAATTGCTAGGTAATTAGGCAAAATTGAGTGAAAAATTATGTTAAAATTGTAGGGGTTAGTTGATGAATTTGCTGGAATTGTCAATTGTCTAGTAAAATAAGTTGAAATTCAAAAAAAAAAAAAAAAAAAAACTCTTCCCTTTTCCTGGATTCTAAAGGAATATTTATATCAAAAAACCCTCCAACTTTTGTTCCATAAACTAGTATCTCTATAGTGCATCTTTCTTCATCACTTTATACTCTAATACTCTGTTTTTCTTCTCCACCCCCACAGCTTTCCACAGTTGCCACTGTTACAGATGATGGTTTAGATATATCCCCAGCTTTCTCTCCCAAATGAAGGAAGCTTTCGTATACTGTTGTAAAGCTCTCTACTTTTTGTAGATTTTATTGAATTTGAATGATTTAGCAACTTAGAATGTGAGTCTTTGTTTGAAATTGATTTGAGTATTGGTATTAATTTGATTGATTGTGAAGATAAGGAAGAGGATGATTGGCTACCTCCACCTCCTAAAGTTTCAGCTGATACACTGAAACTTAGTGAGGATTCAACTATAAAGGAGTTGAGGTATATTCCCTTTTTTGGTTTCAACTTAATGGGTTAGCTCAGGAATTCATTTTATGTTTTGTGACACCCTTGCCTTCTCTTCTCCTATATCTGATATTTGGTTGTTTTGATTGTGTATTTTTGTATCATGTATGTAT